CCCGAACCCGGCGCGCTGGGGGGCGCCCGGGGGCGCCGGGGCGAGTTGTTTTGGCGCGAAGAAGCCATGGGCCAGCCGCGTTAGCGACTCGGCGCCTCGTCTCCCCCCAACGGCCTCGGTTCCCGCGGGGAATCAATGGCAAGGCTGCCGCCAGTCAACCTTGCCATTGATTCCTTCACGGGCGGCGCTTCACGGGACGGCGCGCCGACGCCTCCCCTCCCTCGCACGCGTACACACGGGGCGCGGCCCGGCTATAAAAGCCGGCGGCCTCCACTCTCCTGTACACACACCAGCCCCGCCCGCCCCCTCGCCGCCGTCCAGCCCCTCCCTCTCCCTGCCTCTCCCGAGCGCCGTCGCCATGGCAGAATGTTTCCCCGGAGACGAGGCGGCGGCCAACGGCTTCGGCCGCCGTTCGCTCCGCGAACAGGAGTCCTGGCTCCTGTTCCAGGCGAACATCCCGGCGCCGCCGGACATGCGCGCCGGGCCATCGGGGTGGAGACTCAGCGCCGGGGGAGTGCCCATTCCCCCGTTGCCCGACGCCGTGGCGAAGCCGAAGTACTTCGCCGAGGAGGTCGAGATCGTGCGCGCGTCCCTCACCGACGCCCAACTCTCCCTCCCCCAGTACGCCACCGACAACCACGCGGCCTGGGCGGCGTATTTCGAGCGCCGCCAGCAGCAGCGATTAGCGTCCACCAACAGCGCGCCGATGGTCGGCGGGCGGCAGAACAGCGAGGGGCGCCGCCTCTGGTGGGGCGTCCCCGGCCGCACACTCAAGGGCGTGCTCACATACCTCGACGGCGGCAACGACCCGCCGTTGGCGTACCCCCTGGCGCAGCACCGACGCGTCGAGCCATGGGCGCCAAGGAGGTTCGGGTCCTCCTCCTCCTCTTCCTCCTCCCGATCCTCATCGCACTCCTCCGGCACTCCGGCCCTGCTCGGCGTCAAGGCCGAGCCCGCGGCGGAGTCGCCGCCCAGCCGGCGCACTCGCAGCGCCGGCATCGTCATCAACGAGGGCGGCCGGCGCGCCTCCTCCTCGTCGGCTCCTCCGCGCTTCGTCAAGCCAAAGACGGAGCCGGGGCTGGCGCCGGTGAAGACGGAGCCGGGGCTGGTGCCGGTGAAGGCGGAGTTCGACGACGACGACGCGGCCCTAGAATGGACGCGCCAGGACTCCATTGCGATGGAGAAGGCGCGCCGGGAGAAGGCGAAGGAGCGCCAGCGCGCCGCCCTGCGCCGCTTCGAGGAGCGCCTACGCGGCCGCGATGAAGACGGGGTCGTCGTCCTATGCGACAGTGACGACGACGACGGCGCGCCGCTGCCAGTCCACCATGGCGACGCCGGGTCCAGCCGGGGCGCCCGCGTCAAGGTGGAGAAGGCCGACGACGACGATGGCGGCGACGACTTCAGCCCCTTTCTTTTTTAGATTAGCTTAATGTAATGAAAATGCGCGAATTTCGCCGAAATTTGTCATGTTTACCCGAAATTTAACTACTTTTTATCATAGCTTCACCGAACGGTCTTTTTTTTAACACGCGCCTGGGGGCGGCCCTGGGGACCGACGGCTGGGCACCGACTCGCCTTCAGGGTCTTTTTTTCCGCCGGCTCACCCCCAGGGGGCACTTTTAGACGCCCCTGGAGGGCCAACGGCTGGAGATGCCCTTAGCACATAGTAGCTGCCGTGCGATAGCAGACACTATGACTGATCCTTTTCTACAACAAGTCTAAAGGGGTCCTAGACAATCCAAGTAGTTGATTCCTTTTTCAGAAGAATCCAAGCAGCTAACTCTTGAAAGTTTCAATCACGACTAAATGGTCAAAATGTGTGTGTCCTCTAGAAGAGTGCACATTCAGATTTTAGACTCAAGCCTGAAGTTTTCTTTACTTGTGAGAGCAAATGGAACGTGCGTTGATCCGATGGACATCCTTTGAATAACAAGAAAATTTACTGCATGAAATTATTATCAACAGATTAAAACGAGAGGAGAGGAGATCCATACGTAAATCGGACGCCGCGAGACGAACAAACAGATTCTGCCCGCCGGATTCAAACCGCCGGATGTCGATCAACGACGAGCTCCACATGATGCAGCCGCTCTCGCCCCCCTTTATGCTCGACGCAGAGTACGCCAGGCAAGAACAGTTCGCCAGGCACCGCTGCCGGCACTGATCGAGGCTGACGCTGGCGTCCGCCGTCGCATTCGTGGCGTCGGGCAGCTTGACGCCCCGCAGCGGCAGGAAGCCGTCCCCGGTGCAGTTGAGCCGCGTCCTGCGCGCGCACCCGGCCGAGCCGTCCCTCAGCGCCCACTCCCGCGGCGAGGCCGGCGTGAACCCGGCGGGGCAGCAGCACATCGGCGAGGCGCTGGCGTCGCAGACGCCGTAGGCGCCGCACTGCGCGTAGCCGTCGCACGGGTCCCGGGGCAGCGACCAGTAGAGGCTCCACGCCTGCTGCTGCTGCAGCCACACGTAGCGCTGCAGGCTCGACTGGTTCAGCACGAACCTCGAGACCACGTTGCCGCCGCCGCCGCCGTCGTCTACCAGGAACGTGTAGTATGCGTCGGTGCCGTTGGCCACGAACTCGAACTGGAAGTTGCCGTTGTCCGGCGCCATCTCCGGCTCGCCGCTGAACCGCAGGCCGTTCCACGGCCCGTTCCGGTACACCGGCGCCGTGCCGTTGTACCAGATGAACCCCTCCGGCACGCCGCGGATGTCGATCGCGAACGTGTAGTCGCCAGGCGACGGGTCGCCGGGGCTCGCCCACGTCGTCAGGTAGCGGTCGAGCCCCGTGGCCAGGTGCCACCCGAGCTTCATACCCGGGAGCAGAGTGTCGGACGGGTAGTCGAAGCTCTGCCACAGAACCGACCCCGTGCCACTGGCGTCTTGAAGCAGGAGGTTGCCGCTGTCCAGGAGCTGGGCCACCGGAGTACTGCTGGTTACGTTCGACCGCGCCGAGGACCAGAACGGACGTCCCGACCGATCGGCGAGTACCAGGCTGCCGGTGCCGTTGATGGCCAAGCTCGCGGCGGTGCCGGTGATGGGTGCTTCCCGGTTGGCGACCCAGACAACAGTAAGAGGAGCGATGCCCTTGTACCAGATGCCCAAGAACCTCGCCGTCGAGGCCGGCGGGGTGAAGAACCCAAGCTCGAAGACTCCACCGGCAGAAACGAGCGTCTGGCCATCGGCGACGGGAGAGGTCGCGCTGATACTATCAGCTGCGGGCGCAGGGGAGAAGAGAAGGAACAGGGGAAGAAGAGCTAGTGTTTGCACACGGGTGGCCATGGCCGTTGTTGTAATTGCCTCGCACCAGAAACCGCCCATTAGTCACCACAACACCCCGACTGACTATCATGTGCTTGTTTACTCAGCTCGCGCTGCTCGCTTGCTCCTTTTGAATGTTCTTGCGTTCCGTTTGCATGCGTGTAAGACCAGAGATACAAGCTTGACCGTAAAATTAG